TTTCCATTGAGAAAGGGAAATGCCAAGATGGACCTAGACATTTCCAAACCAAGAAAATATCTTAAAAGACCAAGATCTTTAATTTTGAATTTGACATCTAAAGATTGTTTAATGTGATTGATTTCGTCAGAATCTGTTCCAGCAATGATAAGATCATCTACATAGATTAAAATCATAGTAAAACGAGTTCCATGATGTTTAGTGAAGAGATGATGATCATGGTGAGATTGATTGTAATGCAAGGATAGTACAATGTTGAAAGTTTAGGAAACCATTGTCTGCTAGCTTGCTTCAAACCATAAAGGGACTTGTTGAGTTTACAAACATGATTAGGTTTATCAATGTTAAGACCTTGGGGTATCTCCATGTAAACTTCCTCAAGCAAATCCCCATGAAGAAAAGCATTATTAATATCAAGTTGATGAAGTTCCCAATGTTGACAGGAAGCAATAGCAAGTAACATTCTAACAGTGCTTAATTTTGCAACCGGGGCAAAAGTATCAAAATAGTCTAAACCTTGGATTTGAGTATACCCTTTTACAACCAACCAAGCCTTATACCTTTCAATTGAGCCATCATATTTGTACTTAATTTTATATACCCATTTGGAATCAATGGGTGTCTTTCCAGGAGGTAAAGGCATAATAGTCTAAGTTTTATTATGTTCAAGGGCATCAAGTTCAGCTTGCATGGCTTTAACCCACACCTTATTTTTAACAACTTGATTAAAAGTATGAGGTTCAACATGGGTAGTGATTGAGAGAGCATACCTGGAATATGAAGCTGAAAGGGAATCATAGGACAGAACAGAATTAAGAGGGCACCTGATGTGTTTATCTTTTGGTGGTGGCACACCAATCAACAAGTTGCAATGATAGTCTTTGAGATAAGCAGGAGGACGTTTATGTCTAGTAAATTTCCTTAGTTGTGAAGGAGATGATGTTTTAGAGTCATCAATGCCATTAAGATCATTTTCATAATGAGCATAATCAATATCAAGGAGAGAAGAATTATCAATAGTAATGACAGGATGAGATGATGAAACAAAGTATAGAAAATCAAAGCAAGCATCATTTTGTTGTTGTGAATTAGTGGTAATAGTATAACCTTTTTCAAAAAGGGAAATATATGTTCATAAAAGACAACATTTCTAGAAACAAAAATGTTTCTGGTTAAGAAATCAAGAACCAAAAAACCCTTAGTGCCTTGTTTGGCACCAAGATAGACTCCTTTAGTGGCTCTAGGATCCAATTTGGATCTGCCTTGAACCAAAGTGCTAGCATAACATAAGCTACCAAACACCTTTAAGTCTAATAATGTAGGTGGTCTATCATACAACAGTTGATAAGGTGAAGAATCATTTAAAATAGGTGAGGGAAGCCTATTTATCAAGTGAATAGCATGACTAACAGCATAGCACCAAAAAGATTTAGGAACATTAGAATGGAAAAGAAGAGTTCTAGTTATGTTTAGAATGTGTCTATGTTTTCTTTCCACAACAGAATTTTATTGTGGAGTTTCAACACAAGAGGTTTAATGAACAATCCCATAGGTAGCATAAAGTTGATCCATTGCAAATTCAACACCATTATCAGATCTTATTACCTTAATGTGTTTAGGAAATTGAGTTTGGACATAGGAAATGAAGTTTTGAATCATATTTCTGGTTTCACTTTTTGATTTCATGAAATAAATCCAAGTATGCCTAGAATAGTCATCTACAACAGTAAGAAAATTCTTATGACCATGTATAGAGGGAATAGCAAGGGGGCCCCAAATATCCATATGAACAAGATCAAAGCAAGATAAACTTTTAGTAGTGCTAGTAGGAAAAGGTAATATAGTTTGCTTGCCAAAATGACAGTAATCACAAGTAACATTTTTATTGTAAGTCACATAAGGAAAATGTATTTTCATAGTTTGTAAAACAACATGAGAAGGGTGACCAAGCCTATAATGCCAAAGATCAAAGGAAGAAGTAGTGGCCTTTGGTTGAGCATTCAAAACAGAATTAGATTTGCAAGCTGAAACAAAATTATCCTTGGAAGAAGGTTGTAGAATGTAAAGGTGATTTATGACCTCAACAACCTCAATCATCTTCTTGGAAGTGAGGTCCTGTATGATGCAAGAATTCTTGTTAAATATGAGTTCATAATCTAAGGAGGCAACAATCCTTTGCACAGATATGATGTTAAGATGAAAGTTGGGTATGTAAAGAACATCATTAAGGAAAAACTTTTCAGAGAAAATAATGGCTCTAGAAAACTGAGCAGTGGAGGTAATTCCATTAGGCAGTTTAACATGAACAGGATCTATAGGATGATATTTAGTAAAAAAAATATAACGAATTACAAACATGATTAGTGGCTCCAGTGTCAAGGATCCAATTAGTGTGTTCCAAAGGGTTACCTGGTTGATTTTGCTGCGAGTTGGAAGAACTTACTGATTCAGCAATGGTTTGATGGACAAGTTGATTAATGTTATGTTCTGGTGATTGCAACTTAGCCTTTTTTAGCATGTCAATAAGGTGATCATAATCTTCATGGGTAAAATTTGAGGTGGACTCTTTGTTTTGCTTTCCTGAAATCTCACTAGCTTAGGTATTGGGAGCCTTACTGCTGATAGTGTTTAGGGAAAAGTAGAGTTCCCTTTGTTCTTGAATTTGAAATTAGGAGGGAATCCATGTTTGAAGTAGCAAGAGTCAATGGTATGATTTTCCTTACCACAGAAGGTGTAGACCTTCCCTACATTGGTGAAAGATCCTCGACCACCTGTTCTTCCTCTTCCTCTTGAGCTTCCTCCTCTAACATTAAAAGGAGATCTCCAATTCCCCCAAGATTGTGTGTTGAGGCTAAAGATTCTTGAGTCTGCAAGATTGGGTGTGTTTTGCTGTCTTTCTTGCTGCAATACTAAAGAAAAAACTTTGTTAATCACAGGCAAAGGATCCATAATAAGAATTTGACTCTTGACAGTGTTGTATTGATCATTAAGACCCTTGAGGAAGCATATGACATATTCAGTGTCCTTGTAGTCTTTTACTTTGGTGGAAAGGTCACATGAGCATCTAACATCACAGGTACAAGTTGGTGTTGGCCTTAATGACTCTAATTCTTCCTATAGGATCTTTAGCTCAGTAAAATAGCCTGACATAGTGCAGTCTGCTTGCTTGATAGAATGAATTTCTTGCAGTAAGTCTGAAAACCTAAAGTAATCCCCTTTTGAAAATCTTTCCTTCAAATCCTCCCAAAGCCTTTAAGCATTGTTGATGTAGATAACACTTTGTGCTATTTGTTCAGTTTTTTTATCCAAGAAAGAATCATGGTATTGCATCTTACCCAAGCATCACGGAGTTGATCGAATTTTTGTGGTTCTTGAATGAACCCGTCAACAAATTTGAATTGTTTTTTGACAGCAGAGCCCTCATCATGCTTCTGCTCCAAGAATGGTAATTTGACTCATCAAGAATTGGGCTAGCAAAAATAGTGTCTGGGTTTTCTCCCAGGTGGAGGTAATAGGGGCTTGCAGGGTTTTGGGAATCTTCATCTTTTCCTTTGTTGGTGATGGTTTCTTTTTCAGCCATAGTTGTGGACAGCGGGATCCGCTGAAGCAGTGATTGAGCTCTCACTGAGAGGCTCATGATACCATAAAGCAGTAAAAGAAAAGAAAATTTCTTATTGATTAAATGTTTGTTAGCTAGGCTGGATATATATATATATATATATATATAAAGGCGGCCAGCAAAACTAAAGGAAAAAAAAATAATGCAAACAGAATAATTAACTTAACTAATTTTGCTAATTATAGAATTGTGGTCTAGCTTACTTTGGAAAATGCCACCTGCCTTTTAGTTAAAGAATTTATCATTGAATTCACCAACTTCAACTGAATGAAGGGGGAGATAAAATATAAATTAAATATAAAAAAGCATGAGAGAGAAAAAATATTTTGAAAGTTAAAGAATGAAATAATTAATAATATATGTATAGTTAAAAAATTGTATCACTTTTACTAATAAATTATATTAATATTATTATGGATTAAAAATAAATGAATGACTAGTTTACGAATTGATGAGAATTTTTTATTTGTCGGTGAGTGTGATTCTTAATTATTTTTTATCTACATGTATTTCATAAAATAAAATATATAATTATTTATTAGAGGAAAAAGATGTACTTTGCTCTTCTTTAATTTTTAAAATAAATAAAAATAAATATGTGGGTAGTTACTTATAAAGAGTAAATAGTTTAAGACTAAAAAGATCCTGAAAGAAAGAGTTGTTTAGATTTTTGAGTAAATTAAAAAGGAGAAATAAAAATAATTACTAAAAAGAGTATTTTTTATATAATGGTACATGTGTATTTCATAAAATAAAGTATATAATTATTTACAAGAAGAAAAAAAAAGACACTTCAAGATTCTCTAATTTTTTAAAATAAATTAAAATAAATAAAAAATAAATTAGTGGATATTTACTTTCTTTTGACGAGTAATTATTTATAAATAAGTAGTTTATGACTTAAAAAGACCTTAAAAGAAAGAATACTTTAAATTTTTGATTAAATTAAAAAAGGAAAAAATGGTTTATATAAAATGAAACCAAAACGATTATTAAAAATATATTTTCATTATATAATGGTATAAATGAATATAAATTTTTAATTATTTTTTTAATGAGATCAAGATACTTTATATCTCTATTGAAAAATAAAATAAAAATAAAAATATGTTATTTTAATTGGTATTGTGATTAATCTTTAAATTTTAAATTTTAAATTTAAGTGTTGAATTTAATAAAAATATTATTTTTTTAATTTGTATAGATTAATTGTTCTTTTACCGATATAAACTGACTTTTTTTTTTCAATTTCCAAGAAATTACAAATTCAAATCCGGAGACATTTTTCTTTCCCCGAGACTTGTCTCGGCTCCTATCGTACGGTCGTAATTTCCTCCCAGATATAAATAAAAGGCCATTTTGAATCCTGACCCTCTCCCAGATAGGAATCTGTTATCATACTATATAATACTTCATAATTGCCATCTCCAGCCTCCAACTAGGGTTTAAGTTTCTCTACCAATGACCCGCACTCCGTCCCTCTCACTCCCATGCTACAAATAAACTTATCCCAACCAACCAATCATTCTTCTTAATTTCGTTTCCGAAGCAAACAAAGAATTGTGCTATGGATGGAGCCACCGGCGGCGCCGGCAGCGGCAGCGGCGAAGTGTCGACGGCAGCGCCGGCGCCGGCGCCGATTCCAAACGCGAACGCGCCGGCGCCGTTCCTGAGCAAGACGTACGAGATGGTGGACGATCCTTCGACGGACTCGGTGGTGTCGTGGAGCCCTACGGACAACAGCTTCGTGGTTTGGAACCCTCCGGAGTTCGCCAGAGACCTCTTGCCCAAACACTTCAAGCACAACAACTTCTCCAGCTTCGTTCGCCAGTTGAACACCTATGTATGCTTTTATTTTTGCTGTTTGCGATTCTCAATTTCACCCAATGGTTGTCTATTTATCTCTGTTTGTGAGTGAGGTGGAATGTCTAAGGAAACATAACATCTCTTTGCTATATAGGCATGTTTAAATTAACTTTTCCCAAGTATTTCTAGGAGGAAAAAATAGGAATGGAAAATGAAATATGTTTCTCATAAGGTAATTAGCTTGTGCATAAGTAAATTACTAGAAACTTAACTCTCTTATGTAAGTTCTCTAAAAGCAAATTACATAGAAGCTTATGTATAAGCTAATTTTTAGCTTATGAGAAACTTATTTCTTTTTTGCTTCAAATTTTTCATGCTTATGAGTTACATGATTACTTGTTTATTCGTGAGATGTCTTCGGACTTGTTCGTGATTGGTCCTATATTGTGAGGAGATGTGTCTATGTTCATTGCAAAGGAACCTAGAGACTAGGGAGTGATTAAATGCGATGATATGAAGCATAAATGATATGTAACTTTCACATAGCATTTATGAAGAAATGGTATTTCCCCTCAAGGACTTGGTCAAAATATTTGCCAAAATATAGCTTTATAAAAGAATGTTCTAGTGAACTACATAAATTGACTAACAACTCCAATTGCAAAAGAAATATCAAGTCTTGTAATTGTGAGATAAATAAGTGTGTTTGTTTTGTTGGCAACACACATTCCTAGACATCTAAACGAAGAAGTATGTGATAGGGAGCATTAAAATGCATGTCCTTTTACCTTGCTCAAATTGAAATCCAAACACACTATAAGTTTCCCAACTAATGTTCTATATCTCTCTAGATCTAAAAATGGTTCACCTTGTTCTATGTGAGTACAAAATAAAAAACAAGGAGGTGCCACGTTCAAATCCACAAAGCAAACAAGATGAGAATGACAAATTGATGCCTGAAATAGACCGAGGAAGCTCTGGTGAGAGTACTGATGGTGATGTGGTGGCATTTCGATGGCAGCTGACCAGTGTGTGATCTACATGGGTCTAGAGAGCGTGTGGGTCAAAATTTGCACCAGAAATCACTTCAATTAGGTTGCGCTTGATAAGGCTCACCTACCCTTGAAATTGCCTTAGAATAAGCCCATTGGTGACTAGTGGCAAATGGTAGTTTCAAGCGAGAGGTGACTTTGGCTGGTTGTGGGGACCACAAAGCAAATCATACCACTATAATACCAACTAGAGATTTGAATATGGAAAAATTCAGTGAGTGTCTCCTTGTGAAATTTCTAGAGAGAAAGAGAGGGGGAGAGAGAATTGATTTTGTTATTTTTGATATTTTGGTCTCTTCAATGAAAAAGATCAGATTATATTATATGTATAGTTACAAGGAAAAAGTATAGAAGAAGCCAAGTAGTTATGCTATTGTGGCAACAACCAATCAACTTATAGGAATGTTAACAAACAGTCTAGCTAACTATGCTGATGTGGCAAATAACCACTCAACTTACAACAAAAGGAGAACTCTTTATTACTCCCCCACAAACTTGGGTTGAGAGGAACTCAAAACCTTGAGTTTGTTGCTGAAATAACAAAATTGAGTCTTAGGAAGTGGCTTAGTGAGAAGTTAGCAACTAAAGCCTAAGTTGGAACATACGAGACAATCAAGGACTTGTTAAGAACCCTTTCTTTGACAAAGGATATATCAAGCTTCATATTCTGTTATTGAATGATGAATTGGATTATGACTCAAGGCAATGGTACTCCGATTGTCACAGTAAATGATTGTTGTTGGAATCCAAATTTGTAACTCATTGAGCCAAGATTGAACCCATAAAACTTCAATGTAGCCAATACTAGACTGAGGTATTCTACATCACTAGTGTATCTTGCAACAGATTTTGCTTTCTTTACACTCAAGAAATAAGATTGGGTCCAAACAATATGCAAGCATCTGATGTAGACCTTTCATCATCTATATCAGATGCCCAATCAATATTTGAGAAACCTTGAGCAAAGTTAGAGGAGCAGTAGTAGTTGCTGGTTCAAAATAAAGACCAAAATCAATAGTCCCTTTAAGATACATTAAAATGCACTTCACTGCATTCCAATGAGATGTTAAAGGTTGTGCCAATAATTGACATACCTTATTTACATATTCAATTTCAGGACGAGTAATAGTGACATATTGAAGAGCCCCAACTATGGATATGTAAGAGACAAGGTCATCAAAAGAATCAAAGCCAAAACTAGGCGACTTGAGATTAGGTTTAAGAGGAGTTGACATGCTTTTTGTAGAGTCCATTTAAGCCTTCTGTAAAAGATCTCTAATATACTTAGCTTGAGTAAGAAGAATAGATTCTCAATTTGTGTTTAAATTCAATACCCTGAAAATGATCCAAGTTGCCAAGTTGTTTGAGATCAAAAGCATCATTCAACTTTCAGATGAATTCTTGAACTAGAGAGAGTTTCTTCTAATTATGATATAATAATCAACATAGATGAGCATGTAGATACTAACTTTAGACTGTTTGTAGATTAGTATGGATCATTGCGGTGGTCCTTATGAAAACCAAAACCCCATATAGCTTTCTTTAGCAAGGTAATTTTTTGCCATGAACTTTCTCTATGTTGGTGCACAAGAAAGAAATCATGGCATTGGTTTCTAGCTGTACAACATTGGAGGCACTACAGCTTGTGATGGAAAAACCTATGGAGATGATTGTCAAATCCACCATAGCTTCTCCTAGCTTTTTCGACCTTCATCCATGGCTCCAAATGTCAAAGCAATTAAACAAATATGGGAGAGGAAGAGTGTTTGGTGCGCACTTCCAAGTGGAAGATAAGCAAGAGAGGTTGAACTTGCCACAAGGAAAATTTCCTTAATAAAAGTTCTTAAGGGGAGAAATTCTCTAAGAAGAGAACTAGAGACTTTGAAGAGGAAATTTTGGAAATTCAATTCTCATTCAACACTCAAAGTGACGAAAATAGGGGATGAATACATGTATATATGAAGTTTGGTAGCTTGTGGTACAAGTTAAGCTAACTAAGGTTAGGTTAACTTACACTTAAGCCAATTAACTCTAGTTCAAATTTGAATTTCTCTGATTAAAATGTCAACATCCTAAATCTAAAAGAAAGAAAAAATAAGAGTTTGCCACATGGCAAGGTGCGAAAGGTGTGATGGTGGTGTGTTAATATAAAGGAAGGGGGGGGTAAGAAGTAAGCATGCAAAAAGTGTGACTAGTGTGTGAAACATGTGACTTGGTGGGTGATGTGTGAACCAATGAGAGTGTGTGAGGCCATAATTTTCATACACCATGATGGAGATATAACTCTTTACTCTCTTGGGTCAAACAAGCCCAATAAACACATGCAAAATATTAGTTGCACCCTCCTAAAATACTAAATACACCCCTAAAAAGAAAATTACAAGGAAATAAATTCCTACCCTATTTGTCCCAAAAATTCAAGGTCAAAATTAAGGAAATATTTACAATAAAAAATATTTACAAAGAAGAGAAAGTAGAATACTAAAAGTGACTCGAAATTCAACATGAGCTTGGGCTTTTTTCTTTAAGGCCTAACCCACTCCTCTTAGCTCCTTTTGGATTAACCCCCTAAGCATGATGTCATCAACTTGGAAAGAAACATAAAGGTGTTTACTGATCATGAGCTTGAAACAAATTCACCGGTGGATAAGTTCTGCAGATCAACAATATTGCCTGTCCTAACTGTTGAGGCATCAATTTGAAGTTTTATACAAGACAAGACCAGAAAATAAGGCAACAAATGCTTTATCAGGGAAAGATGTTGCTACTGTGTTTAGTTTCATATCATGAATCGCTGTTAGAATGATTTCTCGAAGCTGAAGGAGGAAAATCTTGCAGACACAACTAGTTCAATTGCAGAACAAACCTGGAAGCAGATCCCAGCAGCAGACCACCAAATTATTGTTGGCGGAGGGTCTTTTTTCATCTTTTAAGTTCAACAATTCTTCTTTGATCCCGATGCTTGCAGGAGTCTGATTCCACTGCGACAGGAGGACACTCTGGGTTCGCTTAAACTTACAAAGTTTAGCAAGCAGTTGTTTTGGTGGGAAATGGAAAAATATATTTTGGATTTTAACTGTGGCTCTGATGTGTACTAGAGACAAATACAAAACATTATCACTTGCTGGTTTACTACAACCACTGCCAATTCTGGAAAAAAATTTGGAAGGAGATTGCTTTGGATATTATCACTGGGCTTCCAAAGTCATAGAGGTACGAGGTAATAATAGTAGTGGTCGGTTTGTCCTAATATGCACACTTTATTCCACTTAAACACCCTTTTATTGCTAACGTGGTTGCTCAAAATTATTCATAAACTGATCCAATCCAATAAAAATTGAAAAAAATAATCTTAAAAATTGGAAAGTGTGCATGCAAAGAGAGGGGAGAATTTAATATTAAGAAAAAAAATTAAAAGATATACCGGTCCTAGTTTAAGTTACTAGTTCACTAGTATAACCTGAAAACCAGCTGGGTAATGTTGCTTCACACATGACACATCCAATCATATAAGAGGCTTGGACCAGCTAATTCACCTGTTCAACCGGCCAATCCGAGCTGGTTTTTGAAACATTGGTAGCCCCTCTGTTTCTTAAGCACTTCCCCTTTTGGTTTGCACTTCACTATGTGTTAGGCAAGCATTGTTGTCTATTGTGCATCCTGCTATGTTTTGAATTTCACCACTTTCCATCATTTACTGTCATTTTCTTGCTATTCTTTAGCAACCCACTGGTTTTCTTTGCTCTTTGTAGCAACTCCTGTCCTGTCCCACCTCTGTTCTCAAGGATTTTGCAGGTTTGTGCAGTGTGCTGAGACCTCTGTTCTGTTTCTTCCCCTCTCATATGTGTAGTTTACACATCACTTCTCATGGCATTATCCTCTGTTTTTGACACCTGGAGACTTAAAGTTATGATGGATTTGATGTTGAACTTTTTCCCGTTGTTCACCTTGATATTTGTTAGTGACTTGTTAACTATGTGACTGTGACTGTGACTTTTGACTATTAGTGATGAACATGCCTTTTAACTTTGGCTAATTTTGGTTTTTGGGCATTAATCTACATGTAATATAAAAATTAAATATTTTATTATGTATACATAATCTTTAAGTAGGCTGCTTCTCACTTCAATGTGGGATTAACAACTATGCCTAGAATCTAGTCCCAGTTAATGTGAATCTGTCATGGGCCATGGAGGAATCTATGTGATGCTGATTTGAGTTAAATGAATTATTTTGCTTTATTGCACTTTAGCCATAACAATTCATCACTAAGCAGGGTTTTAGGAAGGTAGATCCAGATCGCTGGGAATTTGCAAATGAGGGATTTTTAAGGGGGCAAAAGCACTTGCTTAAGTTTATAACTAGGCGAAAACCTGCCCATGGTCATAATCATCAGCAGGCACAGCAATCCCATGGACAGAGTTCTTCGGTTGGCGCTTGTGTAGAAGTTGGGAAGTTTGGACTTGAGGAAGAGGTTGAGATTCTCAAGAGAGATAAGAATGTGCTCATGCAAGAGCTTGTGAGATTGAGGCAGCAGCAACAAGCTACTGATAACCAGCTGCAGACAATGGTTCAGCGGCTTCAGGGAATGGAGCAACGGCAGCAACAAATGATGTCATTCCTTGCAAAGGCTGTTCAGAGCCCTGGTTTCTTAGCTCAATTTGTACAGCAAAATGATAGTAATAGACGCATAACAGAGGCAAACAAAAAACGTCGGCTTAAGCAGGAAGGTATCGGTGAAATGGAACATAATGCTTCTTCTGATGGGCAAATTGTTAAATATCAACCTCTGGTAAATGAAGCAGCAAAAGCAATGCTAAGGCAGATAATGAAATTGGATACATCTCGACTAGACTCTTTCAGTAATAGCCCTGATAATTACTTGATTGGTGATCATTCATCATCATCCAGTGCAATGGACATGGGAAACTCTTTGAGCCGAACTTCTGGAGTAACCCTTCAAGAAGTCCCTCCGACTGCAGCACAATCTTGTCACGTTCCATCTGCAACAGGGACTCAAGGACAAGGCCTTTCAACAGAAAAATCTGAGATTCCATCTTTCCCCCAAGTTGCACCCTGTGAAGAAGTTGCGAAAGCTCAGTACCCTAATATAAATGTTTCGGTTGGAGAACCTAATGCAACTGCTATACCAGTTACTCAAACAAATGAAATCATGCCAGACCTCTCTCCAATACCAGATATGGTGGCAGGAAATATTCTTGATATTGCTGAAGAAAATTATTTGGCACCTGAGACAGGCAGTGGCGGATATATAGATCCTACTTCATTGGGAGTGAATGGGTCATTGTCCATTGATTTTGATAGTATTTCCCCTGAAACAGACATTGATGATTTGTTTAACAATCCTCACTTTTGGGATGATATTGTGCGAACTCCTGTGTCAGAGGAGATCGAGACGAATGGTGCTGAAGTATGCATGGAGAATGAAGTTCAACCAATGGAAAATGGATGGGACAAATCTCAACATATGGACCAACTTACTGAGCAGATGGGCCTACTTTCTTCTGATACAGAAAGAATTTAAGTATATTATGAAGTGTAAATTAATATTTCCTATTGTTCAAGGTAACCTTTATCCCAAACAACACGCGAGTGATGTTCTTATAGTACTAATTACACCTCCGATTGCACACTCAGAACTCACATGCTTCTTGTTTGGTCTGATTTAGTTTGTGCATGAGACCAAACCTAATTGCCTTTTTGTAGTTTTACATGGATTTTCCATAAATTTTGTTGAGTGTTAATTGTGAACTCAGTAGCATTAGGTGCTATAATTTTGATCAGTTCACGTCTTCGGACCCATTGTTCTGACAAAGCAACTGTTAATAATTGAAGATTTGGGGGTGGGCGTCTGAATGCCAGAAACTAGGTATTCCCCTAGTTTTAACATTTTTCTGCCCTGCATTTCCCTTTCAACGTTTTTCGTAAATGAAATAATATAGGTTTTAACATTTTATGAAGTATCAGTTCTTATCCTAATTATAAGCAACATTGAATTTTTCGTCTTGATTATAAATAACAATTATTGGTTTTTAAAAATATTCAAAAGAAAAATTTCTTTTATATTCTTAATTTGTTGTTATAACTAAGATTAAATATAACAATTATTTAAAATTAAAATATCTTTGAAATAAAATTAAAATTTATGACAAAACTATTTAAATAAATTAACTTAATTACTTTTCTTGATCTTGATAAATTGTTTTATGATGCTTAAAATTAGGAATAGAAGTATTTTATTAGTTTCTTGAGTCCTATATATTTTGCATTAGACCAATACTAGTGAGTGTACTCGTGCGAAGCACAAGACAAATTATGTGGTGAGTATTATTTTTATTATATATAAAAAAACTAAATTGATAAATTTTTAAAATAATAAACAATAAATTAAATAAAATATAAATATTAATATGTGACAATAAAATTTTATTATAGTTTTATCATGGTCGTGCTAGAAAATTGCAATACAGTGAAAATAAAAGTTTAGAGTTCATTAATTGAAATTAAAATGAAAATAATTGGGGATCAAAAAGAAATACAACCTTTTCAATTGTTTTTTAGAAGTTTTTCTTTTATAGGAACAATTTTTTTATTCATACCACTTCCCTAATGAAAGGATATAATAAGATAATTTTTTATTTGATTTTCCTATATATGACAACTTAGAAATGAAGGAGATGATGTGGAGTTTATAATTATCGAAAATTGTTGTGCTGTTTGGTGGGCCTATAAACAGTATTTCTATAATCTTCAACAAGTGGGTGTCTTTTATCTTTTTCTTTTTTTTTTCCTATGAAGAAAAAATGTATGCTATGACAATGTTCTTCTATGAAGTTTTCATTAATTTTGTGCTTAACGTTGTTTTCTTTTAATGGTTCCGAATTTAAGGGTGTGTTTGGATGAAGAATTTTACAAATTTAAAAAATTTTAAACTCTTGGTATTTAAATTACTTTGATTTCAATTTCTATCATTCTTAAAATATTTTGTTTGGATATGTAAATTCAAATTTCTTAAATTTTAAATTATTAGGTTGGATATGATAACTTAATTCCATCATGGTAAAATTGATTTAGAAAATATATTTATATGTTGAGATTTTTAAATTAAATTTTATAAAAAATAAATGTTAGTTAATTTTTAAACATTTAATAAATTTAAATTTTAATATTAGATAATATTTAATAATTTTTAAAATATTATTTTAAATATTCAATAATTAAAAACATGAAATAATAGAATTTCAAAGAAAGTAAGAATTTAAAATTTCTCATATTTTAAATTCCTCCTTCCAAACAAAGCATTTCACCTCAAAGAATTTAAAATTCTTCAAATAAATGAATTACTCCATTTAAATTCATCAGCCAAACACACTATAAAGGTCTTATGCATATCGGGAATCATTTCATTTAAATATTGTATACTTCCTTTTAATCTTCTAAGAAAAAATTATGGTTGCCTTACTCTTTAACAAAATTCTATTATTTGTTTTTATAATGTTCTATTGAATATTAAGTGTAAAAAAAATCAGTTGAATAAGACTTTTATACGAATCATAATAGATCAAATAATTTTAGACGGATTATGACACCTTAATCTATAATGTATATATATGCTCTTTCATTATTTTCTTTGCACATCATTAATAATTTCAACATATTTATTTAAGAAATTTGCCATAACTTGAATATTTCAAAATTAGAAACAATTTTTTTTTGCATAAAACTTTAAACTCTTTCATTTAATTAGAACTTTCTTCAATTATTTTTGCCTACATACAAATATTTCTGCCTTTTTTTTATATGCATCAAACACTTTTACTAATAATGGTATTAATTTACATCAATTATACATTGTTATTAATTCATTTACAAGTCATATATGGCATCAATAACACAAGTATAAAGTGCATCATACATCAATAATAATAAATACATTGAAGTTATAAAATACAACATGCAGCTAAACAATAAGGGTGTTCAAAAAATCTAAAAGGAGATGCACACATAGCTCGCAATCGCAGTCATGCGTCTCACATAGTTGCACCTCCACCTCACTCTCATTCTCAATCGAGGCAGGGCAAATACTCAAAGCCCCAAATGGCCAAAGGAAGTTAAAGAAGAATCTTAATCATAGGTTGCTTTAAATTTGAATTGATCTCTTTGCCTGGCTTTTTTCCCAAATCAATCTAGTTTGCATGAACCTTAATCACAGATTCTCTTCCTTTAAAGCCAACAAGCTACTGGCACCTACGGTTCCCATTTAAAGCCAACAAGCTATCATGAATTGAGAGTTCCATTCTTTAAAAGGAGTTGGAATACACTAATGGCTTATTGAAAAGCCATGAAGAGGAGAGTAAACTATGTATGCTCAATTATGTCTAATGGTTGGATGGATAGAAAAAATAGAACTTTGATTAATTTTTTTGGTAATTGTTTATTGGGAACAATGTTTGTGAAGAGTGTGGATGATTTTGAGTATACCAAGATTGGTGAGAAAGTGTTTGAGCTTTTGAATAATTTTATTGAGAAAATTGGAGGAAAAAAATATTATTCAAGTGGTGATAGATAATGAAAGCAATATGTTATGACAAGTCAGAATCAATCACTATTGTTCCTCAATGAAGTTTATAATTTTATACTCATAAGATTATAACTTTTAATTTTAATTATTTTGTTACTGGTCTTTTTAGGTAAAATTTTAAAAAACGTAAGGCCACATTTATTTTGGACTCCATGTGTTGCTCATTGTCTTAACTTGATGCTAGATGATATTGGAAAAATCTTTAAAGTTAAAAGAGTAACACAAAGAGGCATCAAGCTTACGTATTACATTTACAATCATTCCTTGATTTTGGACATCATGAGGAAGTATACAAAAAAGGCTGAATTAGTGAGGCATGGAATTACAAGATTTGTTACCACCTTCCTCACTTTGTAATGATTGCATAAGCAAAAGACAAATCTTAGGAGGATATTTACCCCCAACGAATGGTTGCATTCAAAGGGAGTCAAAGAAGTTAAAGGAGAGAAAGCAACGAATGTTGTTCTTATGCCTTCATTTTGGATCGATGTTGTTTATGCTTTAAAGGTCATGGGGCCTATTGTAACTATGTGGAGATTGGTGGATAATGAGAAGAAAAAAATTGACAATGAGTTACATTTATGAAGCTATGGAAAGGGCCAAAGAGGCAATTCAACTTTCTTTTTCAATCACAATGAAGAAAAATATATGAATATATTTGCAATTATTGAAGGAAGATGATATTGTCAATTTCATCATCCTTTGCATGCAACAATATATTATCTAAATCCTGAGTTCTTTTATAGAAATTCAAGAATTGATGATGATGATGATGATGATGAAATGATGGATGGCCTCTACAACATTCACACTCAGTTGCTAATGTATATAAGGGCAAGAGGTAGGTTTGGCACTCCTACAATAGTGAGACCAAGGATTAAATGGCAATTGGTAAGTGTGAAAGTTTTTTAGTATTAACTTCACTTACAAATTATATGATTATTTGATAATTTATTTAAATAATAATATTAAATTAGTAATGCATTGTATATGAAATGCATTATAGTTGAGTGGTTGAAGATGTATAGGTATACACCACAATTACAAATTCTTGCCATTAAGGTACTAAGCTTAACTTGTAGCTCATTTGGTTGCGAGCATAATTAGAACACCTTTGAACATTTAAGTTAATGACTTAATGTATTTATGTGCAATTGAAATGAACAATCTAAATTTGAGTTTATCATCGAAAATAGAAACTTGACTAACTTTAATGTTTTTAAATTATTATAGATTCACTCAAAACATAGATGTAAGTTTAAGCACCAAAAACTTCAAGACTTTATTTTTATTAAATATATAATCAAGCTCTTCTAAAACGCTTTGAGTGTCGAGATGTAACTGATCCTATTTTTTTTAAATGATGTTGATGATAACAATGAATGATTGTTGGGAGATTTGAAAGAAAATGATGTTGAAAATGAGTTGATTTTGATGATGATGTTTTGAGTTTTATAGATGTTGCCAAGACAACTAGGACTAGTGAACCTTTGAAATACACTAGGACACAAACACAAATGAAAAAGGCAAAAACAATTACATCTACATTCTAGAGAGAAAAGGGGAGGGTGATAAAAGTAGTGGAAGAAGAAAATTTAGAGAATGATGTAGAGGAAAAATATAATTTTAATAGTGAGTGATGAATTTGAAAGACAGTAGACTTTAATCTTGATGAGGAAGAAGATTGAACTTTAATGTTTTCTTTTTTAGTTACTTAGAGCTTTATCATTTTGTTTTCTAGACATTTAATGTTATCCTTTGTTTGATATTAGAAATGATTAATGCATGAATTTAGAGTTATTTTCTATTTTTTAGCACATATATATATATATATATATATATATATATATATGTATATTAGTAATTATTTAATTATTTTATATATATATATATATAATATTAAAACAGTGGTCATCCCACTATCTACAATCCCATTATTCCACTTTTGGAGTCAATCGCTCTATTGAATCATGTTATAGACTTATAGTAAATTAATTCACCATAAACATACGGAGCTAGACAATATTATTCATAGTGTAACATTTACACGAGGCTACTATTCCACGCGCAACACTAAACAAATTCATATATCACATTTCCAGCAGCATAATTCATACAATTCATACACACAATATTTATCGCAATCATGCTAGAAACACTGATAGCTTAGACATCATTTCTCAAGTAATATGTGCTCATTAGCAACACACCAAATCATGAGGAGATTACAATATCAAGCCTCATGCAACTCTAAGTTACATATATTCATTCACATACAAGTGAAAGATACTGTCTTGCCCCACTAATATTCATACTCGACCAATTTCATGGGGGAAATTCAATAAAAATATACAAATCTCCAAATAGGGTAACACCACTTGCAATTGGGAGCTAACACTTGGGGATACAAAACCTCCAAAAAGTATGAGCTAATTCATCTCAAATCAATTACTTGTTCGGCTTCCAAATCAAACCACCACATAGGGCCAAATCCAATACTTTCCCTAGGCTTAAACATGGTTAGGGAGTTAGGCAAGGCCAGTACTAGGCGCCTCTAAGGTGTAACAAAACGGGAATCATTTCACTCAAAGGACCAAGACTTAGACACCTCAAATGGGCTTAAACAACCTTAACAACTACATCTGTCCAACATATTTTCTCACAGAACCAGTCCCGCAAAAATGTTCACAGTAAATTCTAAAAATTATGAGACCATTTGGGTTCGAAAAAGGACGTATAATGCTACAACACTTCAAAAGGACAGGGTCTGGTTTTAAAGGATCAGCCCACGAGTCATTTCAGAACAAGATAGAAACATGTAAAACTTTTCAACAACATTACAACCTTGTTTTCCGAGTACCATGCACAACGAATATAATTTGCGATAAAAATCAGTTGTGCTGTTTCAAACCAATCCATCACACATGAAAACAGGGCAAGGTGTGCATGATTCTCATCTTATGCATTTTCTTTCAGAAAGTTGGTTGTTAAGGCAAAAGACTCAACATAATTGTTTAATGTTCATCATACTAACCTGACCCACCAATAAGGATTTTGGTTGGTTCTTTATACATCAATTCCGGTTTTGAAAATAATGCAGTGCTTAAAATAAGAAATAGCAATAATTCTTTATAATAAGTTCATTCTTGACATTAACTTATATATACAAACTTGTAATTGGAGTTGGTTTACCCAAATCCTTAATTAAAATCATTCGTGAGTCATGGCTCATGTCTCTTTCCCCAAAGGTTGGGTCCCGAGACAGTTTTACATAAACCCCTTTTAGTTTCAAGCATAGAAAACCTGTTTTACCAAATTATTCATTAATTTTCTAGAAAACTCAAGATAATGTGGGATCAATCAGGTTTGGAAGCAAATGATTAAAACCTTGAGATCAAAGTATTAGAGCCTGATTTGACAAGGATAATTTACATGAGTTTGAGAAAAACCTAGCTTTTGCAACAATTCCAATGGTTTGTTCAAAACTTGAGCAAGGTACAAGTACAACTACAAGGATTAAACCATTCTCAGGGAATTCATAGAGCCGTAAACATCCTATCCACAACAGGACACACAATTGCAAAACCCACACACAACAATTATCTAGCATAGATTCTTGTGCACAAGGGGAACAACATAACAGTTCCTGGCTATATCAAGTCATTCAACTCATATATTACGCAGGTACAACACATCCCCCCTATGCAGATATCATCACGCCACATGCATTCATTCATTCACACTCCTGTGTAGTTCAAAATCATCATTCAATGTCTCAATTGATCATCATAAGCAGATTATTCATTTTCTCATATTCAGGATCTCAAACAATCATCATATCATAATCATAATAACTATACAAGGACTCAATGTGGCTTGTAGTGTAACTCAACTTATAACTTTGAAACACATTGAGGTTTCAGATCAAATTCTGGGGGTCCATCAACACACAATACAAACAAGCTCAACCATAAGCACATTCAACAATTAAATCATAAAAATTAAAATAATACTTTAAGCTAGAAGTCATTAGTAGCGAAGTACACCTTATTTACAAGCTATTTTTTCACCTGTGAGAAATTCAAAAAGTACTATGGTTATATATGGATCAGTGAAAAGACAAACATTTTTTCCTTGTTGACTATTGAGGAAACACTACACATAAAGAGGACAAGTATGAATGTATAGAGCTGAAAAAGAATTAAAAATGCATCTAAAAAATCTTTACAATTGTTTTAAATCTTTACTGATTCTGCTATTGGAATAATATAATGATGCAACAACAATTACAAAAGTTGATAACAAGGCCGCAATAAATGTAACTGCAGAAACAAAATCAACATGCGCCTTTATTCCAGAAGGTATTTTCCAAACAATACGAGCACCATACACATTAGCATCATTATTTTTCAATTTGAAGAAGCAATACCGGTTTGCTACCTTTTCCTTTTTTCTGCAGCACACTAATATATCTGGTGCACCAAATTCAACTGTAGAGTAGCCACTTTCATTCAGAGGCTGTAGAAGAAGAGGGAAAAAAGAATTGAGGCAGTAATATAGTGTATCTGATAATACTACTAAGAGAGAAGCTAGTAACACAATTTCTAATACCCTCTTTCTGGATGAGATTCATGTGAATCCAACTATATATGTCCATTTGGTAGAACTCATTCTCAAATTAATGTGACACATGAATTTCAACTAATAGGACAGAGTTAATAGCATTCCTCATACTTTGGTATGATACATTCTTAAATTAGTGTGACACACATGAATCTCAACAAATAGGAGAGAGAATGATGAAGACAGTGTTGATAGCACTCCTCATACATTTGGTAAGACTCATTCTTAAATTACTGTGACACATTAACTTCAACTAATAGGAGAGAGTATGACGAGAAGAGGTGTTAATAGCACTCCTCAATCCTCATACTAGTATATTATTTTATCAAGCCACAACTACTTTGTTCTTGCAATGGAAGAGCTTCAGTAATACTAGTATAGTATTTCAATATTAGCACTAATGGATAGTAATAAGTAATTAGCCAAAGTGATGTTGCATAGAAATCCTCTTGACCTCTAGTTGAATCAATTATCATGATGATAATGCCTTCAAAAATTGCTATTTGCTTTGCATAACATTAGATTCAAATAAATTTCAAAGACAAGCTTATCTGAAAATGGCATTGAGATAATTGAAACATAATAGCCTTACTTGATATCGAGCATGCAATGGAAGCTGTATATCGATATCAGTTGCCTCTTGCAATATATTTGGGTCAACAACTAAGTGAATTTCAACAACAGAATGATTGGACAAGAATGAAGGCAGCTCCAGATTTGTATCACCAAAGACAGCTATCTCACTGAACACTGCAACAAAAAGTGTTATTGACTTGAAGTAAAAAGGAGATAATCTTGAAATTAAAAATATGATTTTTTTTCCCCATTTTGTCTTTAAATCTAAAATGCAGGTGAAGAGTATTTACCACCACGCTGAACAAGACGTTGTAATTCAAATGGATCAGCAAAAACTCCAGAAGGCAGTCTTTCAATAATTATAAATTCACATGAGTTGCTTAACAGTTCAGACGAAAATATAGACTGTTGACTTTGAAATTTGATTAATGTAGACACACTTCGGTGGGAACCTTCTCCATTAAGATTGCGCTTTAGATCAGACAATCTCAAGGGGAAATTATGGCTATCTGGAAACACTTCACACACACCAGAAGTGTCTTGTTGAGACATAAAATTTTCAAAATCTGAATCATCCAAGTCCATATATCGGTCATAATATGACTGCATTAGAAATTTGTTGTCATTTGGAGAATCCACCACCTGAAAATGCAACATATCATTAGGCAAAATTAAAACAAAAGATGGCACATAATGGATGTATTCCCAAGAAAAGCAAACTATAGTGATACTGAATACTCGTAAGTATTAAACGGCATCTGAATGCAAATGTTCTATGTTTTTTCTGAGAATGACAATAATGTTCCAGTGGTTTTGTCTCATCACTGATAATGTTTGTAATTGAAAATTCGTATCAAAGAGGGAGCAAAATCATCCATAAATAGAGAGAGAGAGAGAGAGTATTTACTAACCTGACTTGGAATTGAATGACCATGCGAACAGCTTCCAGGTGTCCATATCAATGCTAAGAAATACATGAAGAGTTGAAGCCATGGCCAAGTTGCCATGAAGAAACTCGTATTTGATGCGAAGATAGAAAGAGAGGGGTGAAATCAATTAGCCTCCAAAAAAGATCTCATTAGATGCAGATTCCCACAGACAAATCCGCACAAAACACTTGATACCCGATAATCGATTAAGGACGGCTTAGCAAGAAATTTAACCTAATCAAATAAAATATTGCCACCCCATTACCATGTCCAACGCGTTCAGAACAGAACCATGTTCTCGGGGATTCAGTGAGTGAGGCGCGAGAGAGATGCATCTCATGAGTCCGGTTTCCACATTATAGAATGAGTTTGTGGTTTTAATTATTCAACCTTTTTTGTTTACACACTCTAGTTTGAAATGAACGAGAAAGTAAGTGGTGTTATCAAATGGGCCTCTCTTGAGTTATATTCACGGTTGATGATATATACACCTCCCTTTTTTTTCTAAGTACACCCCTTTTTTAAAAAAAAAATAATTAAATTTTTAAAGTATTGTTAATTTTTTATATTTTATTTTTAATTTTAATTTTATAAGCACAACATTTAATTTAGTACTTTTTTTTTTACACATTTTTCCTCTTTTTTTAAATTTTTATATGCACCCTTTTACCTTTCTTTCATTCATCTATTTTGATAGCATGTAAAAATTAAAAGAAAAAAAAAATGTGTGAAAAAGAAGAAGAAAGTAACAAATTGAAAGTTGAAAATATAAGATTAGAAAATTAAAAAAAAACTATAATATTTTATAAATTTTTTAAAAAAAATTAAGGAGGTATACTTATAAAAAAAGGAAGTATATATATCATGAACCTATATTTACGAATAGGTCCGTCATAGACTATCAGGCCCATTTTCTTCTCTTACTCCCTCCTCCCCTTCTTCTGTACACATTTAATTTAATGGGCCTATCAAATTGTAATCTAAAAATTGATGGATATATTTTAAGCTCGTGATTTTTTTAAAAAAAAATTAAATTTTAACCTCTAACTTTCAATTTATTATTATTTTTTTCATAACTTTTTCTTTCTCTTTTCCAGTTTTCACATACATGTTATTGTCGTCTTCCAATTTTTCACCTTGAGTAGTTTTAGTTCTCTCAATTTTTACATTACTATCTTATTTTCTCACTTCTTTCACTTTTTCACATTCACTCAAACCATAAAATTGGTATGCAACAATATTATAGGTACGTGCAACTTCCTTGACAGTTTATACCAAACTAGATATACATTTTTTTTCTTCTAGCACTTTCTTTTCTTTCACTCCTCCAAAAACCTTAACATGTGTAATTTTATATACTTCCAGAAAGTATTTTCGAAACAATAAATTTAGTATTTCGAAAAGTATTTTCTAAAAGTAAATAAAATAACATACTTCCAGAAAATACTTTCCAGAATAGTAAAGTTAATGTTTCGAAAAGTACTTTCTAGAAGTGTGTTGTTTTACATAATTCCGGAAAGTACTTGTTAGAACATTAAATTTTATTATTCCAAAAATTTCTTTCCGGAATTATATAAAATAACACTTCCAAAAAGTATTTTTCTGAACATTAATTTTAATGTTTCAGAAAAGTACTTTTTAGAAGTATGTTGTCTTACATTGTTCCGAAGATTACTTTCCGAAACAGTAATTTAATGTTCCAAAAATTACTTTATGGAAATATGTTAAAAACTTAATTTTGAAACTTGTTTTCGGTAAAATTATTATTCTAAAAACTACTTTCTAAAACACTAAAATTCTTTGATGTTGTGTTTAAGACATGTAAATGAGAGAAATGATCAAAGAAAAAATGTACATTTGGCCCAATATTAATATAACCGACAAGTCTAAGTTGGATCTTTATTTGACTAAAACACCACCTGAGCCAAAGTTTTTTCCTAAGTTGGATGTTTGAGCTATTGGAAGGACCACTAAGAATGTTATCATAATCTTTGATGGTTGACATGTGATGTATTAAACATTCCTATAACAATGTTTGCTAGCGAGTCCAAATTTAACATTGACGCTCATGTGCTTAATAAAGTATCGATCTTGTCTTCTTTCGACCAATGTCCAAGCATTAATTTTAATCAAAAATTGGTTAATTGACTTTGAAGATTTTGGTAATTTATTCCACTTGTCAATTCTTTACTTCTAAAAAAAGCATTCATTGATCATTGCTAAAGCTAAATTCTTTTTTTTCTTTTTTGTGTGTGTGTGATTATAGATGAAGATAATAACGATGAGCTAAAAGAAAAGGAATTTATTATAGATTTCATACTTCAAGAATCCAATGTGGTTCATGGATAAGAAGAATAATATGTTGATCTCGACTTTTTGTAATTTGAAATTTTGAATAGAGTTTAAACTTTAATATTTATGTTTTGGTTATTTAGTAATTTTAATTATGTAGGTTGGCTTGACAATTTGATATTTTTAAGACTTTAATGTTGTTGAACTATCAACTACACTAATCACTAATGTTTGGATGTGTGTTTTATTTTAAAACTTCAATGGTAAATGTAACTATGTATTTTATTTATTAAAAATAGGAACATGTAATTAATTTTTTCTTTTAATCTTAAAAGATCTAGGGAACCAACCACTAGCCATAATAGGTTGAGTTGAGTTGTTATTTTTCTGACTCACTAGAAAATGAGTCGAGTTGGGCTGACTCTTTTAAAATACTAACTTATAGTGAATCAAGTCAAATGAGTACGAACAAAATTAATTCATTTTAACACCTTTGTAATAAGCCTAAATATAGTTGTTTAGGGCGAAATTCCAATCTACTAGAATTTCATCAAATCAAAGAATAGCAAAGAAATAGCGAGGGGTTCAAAGACGAAGTAATATTCAAAACAGAGGAAGGATCGAGGAAGATTAAGGACTCCAAAGAAGTTATTTGATAATGCATCGAAAAACCAAGAAATGCAGTTTTGAGAGGTTAATAACAGTTGGGAGTGGGTCGTGTAGTGTAGAGCGATTATATATTCCACGTTGAACTAATACCAAATAACTGCCCTTCCTAACTTTCTATAAATAAACAAGGTAGACCCATTCAAAAAGGGATCAGAAATTTCATACTTATGCGCTCACACGCACCCATTGCCTACGACCATGGCTTTTGTGCACGAGACAACTGAGTATGATTTATTGGTCGTCCTTCTTTTCCTTTCTAGGATAGTTTAGAATAGTTAGCTTAGTGTAGTATTTTCATTCCTTCTCAAAATCTCATGCTCTATAATTCATGAACTCTGTGAAGTAAAGGATATAATTATTGTGTTTAATGTACTCATTGTTCATTTAATTTACTTAAGTATTTATATGCATGATTCTTGTTTCGTCGTAGCCATCGAAGAACATATAGATTTCTTTGCATGCTAAATTACATAAAATTAGATCTCGACTAGTTGGTTTTTGTCTTCTTTAGTTAAATTATTTGTATCTTGTGTATGAGATTTACTCTTTAGAGAACTTAATACATGTAAAAAAACGTTCAAGACTGAAATACGTAAAAAAATTTACTTGCCACACATACCTAAATCGAAAACTTTATAAATTCAAATAAAAAGAATCCATAAAAAAAATCATCGCAAACAATACCTTAAAAAATGCCCATTTGATAACTTCATTTGAGAAAATATTATTATGATTCAAAAATAAGATTTGTGATTTTCTATTAGGTAGAATGGTTTTGTTAAAAGAAGAATCGTGTACTTGAAGGTTATTATGACTTTCTATGATAAATCCATCTCTAATTCCCACATCTAAGTAAATGTAAAGGTGAAGACTTAACAATTCATAATACATCATTTGGATCCCAAATTACCTTTTGTATGACATCACGGTAATACCAACGAAATAGAAGAGAAAGAGTGATGAGGTGGCTGAGAAACGTATCAAGGAAAAAAATATAAAACACCCTTTTATTTTATTTTATTTTTAAAAAGCCCGAAATTCATTTGTAATTAATTAAAATAGTATTCTCGATCGATTAAATTGATTTTTAATACCAAAATTTTAAAGCAAAATATTAATTGATTAAAACAATTTTAATCGATTATTTTTCTTCAAAATTACTGTTACAATAAAATGTTAGGAACATTCAATCGATTGTATGATTTTTGTTAATCGACTGAAAATTTAAACATTTATATGATTTTTTAATTGTTTTAAACTTTAAATTTATTTACCTAATTTAAATTTATTATTTTAATAAATTTTTAATTTAAAGAAATTTGACATTAGTATCATTTACTTACTTTTAATTGGTTATTTATTTTATTTCAAAAGATTATTTATTTACTTATACAATTTTATTTAATTGATTAAAATAAAAAATAACTAATCAAAAATTCATTTTAAAAATAATTTTTGTTATTTTTTATTTCCTATTTATTTGTTTATATTTATTTCTCTTTTATATATATATATATATATATATATATATATATA